TGTCATTCATTCATGACAGCGCCCATGAGTACACCGAAACTGAAAATGACAAAAGAATTGGAATTGAGACGAAAGAAACATCATAATGAGCGAGCCACGGCGTCCACTTCGGAACCATGTGTTCCATTCTTCTTGTCGTGTGCTAAACTCACCAATAAACAGTGGTATCATCGGGCAGTTCCCTCAGTCCCTTGAGAGACGTCCAGAACTGGTCGGGTGTCCCTTCAAACATTCGTCCACACCCCAGTGCAAATAGTGAATCTCCGACAAAGACGGATTTGGAGTCTGGAAAGTAATAGGCAATGTGTCCCTTGGTGTGTCCTCCCACATCCATGACGGTGGCTTGTGTCGATCCAAATGCCACGACATCTCCGGCTCCCACGGCCGAGTCAATTCCTGGAATTTTTGGTTTTTCGTCAATGGGCCCCACCACCGTGACTCCGTCCGTCTTTAGCTCTTCATTGGCACCCGTGTGGTCCCAGTGGCTTTTGTTTTTAGTTTGGAAACACAATAAACATAAACCGGTAGTTGAGGAACAGAGCCCCTCATCCAAGGCACAGCATAGAACAGCCCGCAGTATAGTATTGCAACTAACAAACTTACTGATGAGTGTTGAGAATGTGTGTCAATTTCCAGCCTCGTTTGGCCAATTCGTCTTGATAGGGTTTTGCTTCGGGTGTATCGACGACGGCCGTATTTTTGGTGGCAGGATCGTGAATGATCCATCCGTAATTGTCGCTCAAGCATGGCACTCGGACAATTTCGAGAGAAGCACACGAAGAAGACGACATGGTTCTACTAGTAGAGGTGGCGTCGTTGTGGAAAGCAGAAGAAAGTGCAGAACCAGGATGGAGAGCCGAGAGTGCCACCAGAGCACAGCAGGTAATCTTGCGTGGAGTTGGTCTAGCGAACGAAAGAAGCATTCGATTCATTACTAGTAGTCTACGACAACGACAATATCGTACAAGGCAAGTCAAAGGAAGCCGTCGACGAATGAAAGATCTGTTGTGGTATGTTGCCATGGTCGCGGCGTCTTTTACCCGTCGACTCGACTCGACTCGACTCGACTCGACTCGACTCATTTCGACTAAGCTTCTGAGTCAGTGTCAGAGCGTGATTCATTCACTCCCGTTCTACACCAGGGATCGACATACACGGGACTTGCGTTGGAGATGATGGAGAAACCAATGCCAACGGTCAATCCTTCGCTTGGGTGGAACGGGTCAATCGGGCACTCCAATCCACAGCCACACTCCACGCTCCACCACGACGAAGGACGCAGCGTCACGAGCAACACAGCAAAAGCTTCTTCTTCCTCTTCCCGTCAATACACAAGCCAGAGATAAACAAGCCAAGGTAGTGTGTACTGTATAACATTCATGGCGAGCCTTCCAGCAGAGGAAAATGGGAATGACGACGAGGTCAGCTGCAAGAAGCCTTGTCAAGCAGTACTGGTACCCAAGCACGAGTTGTGGGAAAAGAGCGATGTTTGGGTCGACCAGATTTTCCCTTTTGTGGGCATTGGCCAGTTTGCCTTTGTGGCACCAGTCAATAAAGACGTGAAAGGTCTGTATCGAGAGTATTGTGAGACTGTTCGTGATCCTCCCAAGGTCGTTACTACTGAGAGTCCACCTACCAGCCGCTCTGCAATCTATTGCGACACTTTTCTGAGCGTAGCGCTGTCTAACGTCGCATGTGCCGAATCTTGGTTTCAAGAGATGACCACAGAAGAGAATTGCATTCTTGCTGACAGAGTGTGTGACGCGGCAGCAAAATCTGGAAATCTTGAGATCTTTCAATGGGCTCGCGGGAAGGGATTCCCGTGGACGGCACGGACCTGCAAAATTGCCGCGGAGCAAGGCCATTTGGTCGTACTCAAGTGGGCCCATGAGAATGGATGTCAATGGTTTTCGTGGGCATGCGCTTGTGCGGCTGAAAATGGCCATCTACATGTTGTGAAGCATCTTCATGAAAATGGTTGCGGATGGGACAAATGGACGTGCACAAATGCAGCCATGAATGGCCATTTTGAAATACTAGCGTACGCTCATGACAATGGCTGTCCTTGGGATGAAAAAACCTGCAGCTACGCTGCTGCTGCGGGACATTTGAGTATTCTGAAGTACCTATATGAGAATGGCTGTCCTTGGAATTCATCAACATGCTGCCATGCAGCCAGAATCGGCAATCTGGAAATGCTGAAGTATGCGCTTAACAACAGTTGCCCATGGAGCCAACTTGCCATCCAGCAGGCGGCAGACAGTGGCCATTTACATGTGCTGAAATGGTTGCATGAAAACGGCTTCCCTTTTTGTGAAAATCTCTGTTCCATTGCTGCTCGGAATGGTCATGTGAGAGTTCTGGAGTGGGCTCTTGGCAAGGGCTTTCCATGGGATGCAAAAATTTGTGCCACTGCTGCTCGGAATGGCCATGCAGAAGTTCTCAAGTTTGCTTGTGAAAATGGCTACGAGTGGCAGATGCGCGAAACGACTTGTCCGGACGCTGCCAGCAAAGGCCATTTGGGAGTTTTGAAGTTTGCGCGACAAAGAGGGTCCCCCTGGGATGAATACACTTGTAAAAAAGCTGCTTACAATGGACACTTCGATGTTGTCAAATGGGCCCGCGAACAGGGTTGTCCTTGGGACAAAGAGACTTGTGCCGCTGCTGCTGCTGGTGGTCACCTAGATATCCTCAAATGGGCCCGTGAGCATGGTTGTGCTTGGGATGCAGACACCTGCGAAAGGGCTGCTTGCTATGGTCACCTAGATCTCCTCAAATGGGCCCGTGAGCATGGTTGTCCTTGGGATGCAGGCACCTGCGAAAGGGCTGCTTGCTCTGGTCACCTAGATATCCTCAAATGGGCCCGTGAGCATGGCTGTCCTTGTGATGCAAGCACTTGTGGTGCTCGCGCTCTTTTCAGTGGTCACCTAGGTGTTCTCAAATGGGCCCACGAGCACGGTTGTCGTTTGGATGCAAACACTTGTGCAAGTGCTGCTCGCTATGGTAAGCTAGATATCCTCAAATGGGCTCATGAGATTGGGTGTCCTTGGGATGGAAGCACTTGTGCAAGTGCTGCTGCCTTCGGTCATTTGGAAGTTCTAAAATGGGCCCATGAGCATGGCTGTCCCTGGGATGAATGTGCTTGGTCCAAGGCAAGATTACATGGTCACAAGGATGTATTAGCATATCTCGAAGCAAATGGCTGTCCACCGAGCCACCTTTAGATACCGGAACTGATGCAGGGGAACTGAATTCGCCCTGGCCATCCTTCACTTGATGAGCGTGTCAAAATGATTGCACAAGGCTCCAGAAGGTCGCAACATCCTCCCGGCTGTGTGATGTTCGTAAGGGAACGAGTGGCTAGCTAGGATACAATGGACTAAAATCGAAATTCCATAGAAAAACTGTCCTCCATTACTAGTAACTCTCCGGTATGGATACATCTATTTGTATTCATCGCAATGAGTGTGTTGTTTCGATAGACCCCTGGGAAAAGTTAGTTGTTGCCGCCGATTCTTGGCATTGATGATTCGCAAATGGATATTATCCAAATCTACGACGCCTGGGGCATGGCTGCTCGCTTTGCGTGAGTAGTCTTGGGCTTTTTGTTGTTGTCGGTGGAAGCCTCCGCTTCCCCGTCTTCTGATTGGCCGAGACGTCAGTCAAAGCCTGGCGTTTCTTGGGAGGGGTCTTCTTTTCCTTGGCCGGCGGTTTGGCATCCTCCTTTGCCGCTGGTTTGGAATCGTCGCCGTTGGACGATGCTGGCAACGCTGGTAGATTGTTTTCGGGTTCCATCAATCCCTGGGCAATTGCGAGCTCTTCGGCCGATGCTTGCAATGCCAACCAGTTCCATTAGAGCTGTCATAGGGATTCAACATTTGTTGGCCTTTGCTCTTGCCTTTGCAAGACCTCGCTCAACCCCAATAATGTGAGCTGCTAGTAAATTGTTTGTCTTGGGTCGTACTGTATTGCCGTTCCAGACACCACACAAACATTCTTATCTCGCGCCCTCACAGCGTTTCGAAGTAGCTCTTGCATGGGCATACAGTACCCGTGAGTAGGTGATAGCAGTGATGACGATCGAATTCTGATTCTTCGATGGTGAGCGCCGAGAGCTCTACCTTGGAAGGGATCGAGGCAGGTGCTGTAACTTCATCTTTCAGAGTACCGAAATCATCCCTTGCCCGCAGTTTGTAGATTTCTTATCATCTGCCCACAGCCGACAGGACACTGCACGTTCACCAGTTTGTTTGGAGCAACAGGTTTTGCAACAATTTGCTTTTGGCTACAGTACTGTTTCTTGCTGCCTCAGAAGAACGAACGTCGATCACCGGAAGCGGTATCTTTACTTTTAGCGGACAGCAAATATTTTTCCGTCTTGTATCCAGCATCTAACAGTTTGGCAGCTGCTGAATCAATACCGTATCAGATTCATGCACACCGATACTGGCAAGGAAACTCGCCACTGTCCAGGTGATACTACTGTTGGTGGAAGCCATACGACAGTGAAGCAGGTTGCTGTGTTTTCTGCGTCGACCTCGTTGTTGGTTGTTGTGGCCCTGTATTCCTGGTGTTCGTGTTTACGTTGCGAGATGGCACTTGGAGCGAGACTGACCGGCCGAGCTCGAAAGGAGAGCCTCAAGCGGTTACCACTCTGTGCTGCCGTTGTCGTCACTGTTGCCAGGGCTCAATTCTACTAGTACCGTAGTAGTAAAAAGCACGACAAACCCCAATGAGAATTCACGCGAAAACTCTCTTCATTTTCCAGTCAACAACAGCAACAGCAGCAGCAGTTTCCGACACAACCTCTACTTAAACCTTTAGAATCCCTGTTTGTGTTGTTGATCAGGCCAAAGCGCTACCGTATTGACAATTTTGCGATGAATTCAACCAACAAGTGCATCCGATGGGATGATCATCTGTCGTGGTGTCGTGGTGTTGCCATTATTTGCCGCGGCGTTTCTTGGAATCAATCCTTCCACTGAGTCGAGTCGAGTCGAGTCGAGTCACTCACTTCGACTGGATTCAACTTCTGAGTCAGTGTCAAAGCGTGACCCAGAGGGATCGGCACGGGACTTGCGTTGGATACGACTGTACCGTACACCCTGGCCAACGGTCAATCTTCCGCTTGGATGGAACGTCACTCAACCACTTTGTTTGTTGTAACTTTGATTGCTTTCTTCTCGTTCTTCCAACCAATGGCACACCCTCTATGCTCTGTGTTGAAGCAAGGATCTACCAAAGCAAACCGATACGGAAGCCAACTAACTCTTGATTCGATTCGATTCGACCAACTAAGATTTGCTAACGCGACAATCCATTTTTGCTACCCCTCGGACATTCCCATTGCAGTGACAAAAAATAATAATGTGGAAAGGCAAAGCCAAGACGATTCTTCAGAGAGCCATTCGCACGGGCACATTTCCGGGCCAAACCAGATCGCAATGGTGGCCTGTCGGTGCCGCCGTGTCCCTGCTGGTGCTGGCAGAGTTGGATCGTCAGTCCAAAAATAATGCAAGGTCGAATAATGAACATGAGAATGCAAATAAGAATATGACTCTGCCCCTTGAAAACTCCAGATGGTTTCCGTCCATGACATCTTCTTGCGAGGCCCTACAACAACAACAACAACAGCCACACGTATTGCCACAACGAAAAAGTGCCGATCTACGACGATTTCGAACACTCCGACGAATGGATGAAAACTCGACCAAAGATTCCATGGACAGTCGCTACGACGTCGATTGGGATTCTCCCTTGGGGGAAGGATCCTTTGGAGCCGTATACGTTGCCACGGATCGACGGACCGGAGAAAAGGTGGCCGTCAAGAAAATTTCCAAAATGTACACCAACGAGGACGAATTCTACCGAGAAATGGCGGCACTGTTACACATTAGCAAGGCCGGTGGACACCCGGGAATTTGTTCCCTGCGAGAACATTTCAATGAAAAAGGGCATTATATTCTGATACTGGATCTCGTGTCGGGAGGAGAAATGTTTGATCATCTAGTGGAACAGGTACGTGGAATCTACCGAAAACAAGGAATGAGGGATCACTGCTCACAATCGATTCCCACGATAAAAGGGTGCCTATTCAGAAGCCGATGCGGCCCGTCTGATACGAGAAGTAGCATCGTCCCTATACTTTATCCATGGACTCAATCTCACCCATGGCGATTTAAAACCTGGTAAGTAATACACCCCGCAATGCAAAGGATGGATTCCCCCCATGTAAAACCATCCTCCAAAACTCACCGTTCAAGTAGAAAATCTGGTAAGTAATACAAACAGCTAGTACAATGGAAAGGATGGATACCCCCAATGCAAAACCATCCTCCAAAACTCACCGTTCAAGTAGATGCTCAGTTCCAAGAATCCCAGTGATGCCGTCATTAAACTGGTAGACTTTGGATGCGCTCATATCCACGAGCAAGATTCCAATAAACAAGGAGTGGGCTCGGGTGAACAAGGTGGCATTGCGGGTAAAACATTGGCGTACTGCCCACCAGAAGCACTCCGGGAGGGACCCTACGGACGATACGTCATGCGTCCATCCATGGACTTGTGGAGCCTAGGGATCATTCTATACATTATGCTCACGGGAATGCATCCCTTTGATATCAGAGGACAAGCCACGGATGAAGAAGTCGCAAAAGCCATTGTCAGTGGAGTACCACCACCGCTGCGAGATTCACCGATCACAGCACACTTGTCCGCATCGGCGGTTGACCTCATTGAACGACTCATGGATCCAAACCCAAAAACAAGAATGGACGCCTTGTCGCTGCTGCAACATCCATGGGTCAAGGGAGAAACGGCATTGACGGACAAGATGAGATTGGCCGGCAAAAAATTGTCCATTTATCGTAAGTCCATGTTGAACTACTCTCCACTGGTTCCATGGATATTTGTCTCTAACTTACCGATACTTTCCTTGTTGTGTCTCATAGATGGATATAAAAGTGGCATTCAAAGAACAGTCTTTGAAAATCTTGTCACGGGGTCGGACAATCTGGATGATTCTTCCAGTCGAAAATCACTGGTGGAAAAATCATTTCGATGGTTCGACTCGGAAGAGAAGGGGCATATCGACCTCTACGATCTCCAATCGGTCCATAACGGTGTCTCGCTCAAGGGGTTCAGTGAAACGGATGCGGCTCCCCTGTCATTGTCGGCATTCTCTGAATTACTGTCAGATCACATGCAAAATCGATACTTCCCCAAGGGACACGTAGTCTATCGGGAGGGGGACGTTGGAAACAAAATGTACTTTATCAGCTCCGGAAACATCACAGTTTCCACCAAGACAGGGTTTACCGTCCAGCGAGGTTCCGGCGACTTTTTCGGAGAAGGAGCTCTGCTCAGTCCCAAAAAGATCAGATCCGCGACAATCCACTGCAATACGCCCGTCCATGCCATGGAAGTGTCTCGAGAATACTTTGACAAGTACCTTGCCAAGTCTGATTCGGCGCTGTACTTGTTCCTACGAGAAAAGGACATTATTCGCAAAAAGAATCGAGCCAAAATGATTCTGCGACTGCAAAAGACACTGAACGAACGCGAGTTTCAGTTCGGAGAGACCCTCTTTGAATTTGGCGACACGACAGACTCCATGTTTCTGATGGAGAAAGGTGAATTTGACATTTTGGTGGGAGACCAGAAGGTCTTTTCGGCACAACCTGGCAACCTCTGTGGCGAAAACTCCGTTTTGACCCGTCGGCCGCGTAGTGCCACTGCAATATGCGCCACTGAAAGTGGTTGTACGGTTTACGAGATGCAAGGGCGCGACTTTCGAAAGCTAATGCGCAGAGCTCCAGACATCAAGGCGTCCTTGCACAATCTTTGTATGCGCCGTGATTTCAAAAAGGCCGTGGTGATGCGATTGAACAAGGAGTTTCCTTACCAAAACCCACGGGAAGCCTTTGACGCGGTCAAAACGGACACCTCGCGGCCTCATCATCTCAGCAAAGAAGAAGTGGCCAACTTGATGAGAGAATTTTATTCCAGCTACTCGGACAAGGAAGTCTCAGAGTTGATCCGGACAATGGATTTGACTGGTTCTGGGACTGTGTCTTTTGACGAATTCAAGAAAGTTTTCATTGCCAGCAAAAAGGGCTCTGAAGCCAAGTAGTGACACTATTTTGGAAAAGTTTGATGCTACAGTAATTGTAATTTTGTGCGAATAGCTGTTCCCTTGATAAGTAGGAGCCGCCTAATAAGATAAGTAAACATATAAGAGAGCAATCGTCTCGATGACCTGAACAACAAATGCACACAAAGCGGACTTGAGCTCTCGGTGCCATCATCATTGGTTCGGTGCATATGACTTCTTCCCAGCTAAAACTGAGGAGTGAAAACGTTGATCAGGGCATCCTGGTTGGCGAAGTCCGCTCCACAAACTAGTAGATCATTGTAAAAAGTGAGAGAGGGCAGATTGACAGTGACTCCCTATGCATTCAGCGTGGCAGCTTACCTTCTCCATCAGTAAACTGAGGAGACCCAAGCTTGAAATATTCCTTCACGTGCCTCTGGCAATCAGGATCAGCGACACCAAGACCATGGAAAAGAGATTGACTTGTCAGTAGATGCGTGTTTGGAAAAGCCATCTTCATCTCTTGTGTCCAGGTGTATGGTGTGGCTGAGTCAAACAGTTGACCAACAAGGATTCCTGTGGGTGCCATAGCAAATTGCAACACATGCTCATGTTAGACGAAAAACGAAACAAACGTCAAGCCAAGATGGACTTTGGCAGTGGTTACCTGTTGTGAATGCATTTCCAGCAGGCGAGCTAGGGGCCCCTTTTGGCCAATAATACCCATGGAGATACTCCGCCAGAAAAACTTGCCCGGGTAGCCCAGTACCAGCACCTGTATACCTTTCATTGATTTCAATGGCTTCTTTGACCAGCCTGTCATCATCGTAAATGGCCCCAGAACGGTCTTGACTTCTGACCATATTTAGGGACACTTGCATGCCTTCATCAATTATGGTATAGTCAGGGTTGTCAAAAACACCAAATACCTGCCAAGTTGGAAGTGCAGCTAGATTGAGGTCGAACTTTGTCATTTGGTCATCTTCATTGACTTCCGGTGTCAGCTCATCCTTGATCTTTAAGATCAAATCAGTATCTCCATCTGCAGCTGCATTGCAGATTTCCTCAGCCCTGTCAACATTGGCAAGGATAATTTGAACAAGACGTTGAAGGTCTTCTGCGCCCGCTCCTCCAGGAGTAGAGTCATATTTAGCTTCAAGGAGTCTGTCGATGTCCCGAATGCATTGCCTCATGTCATCTACCGGACAGCTGCCAGGATTGACAACATTCCGTGCAGTGCAAGAGAATATGATGTAGTCAATACGTTCGTTGAATCCAATGGCCATTGTCCTTGCATTGTGGTAAAAGTCTGGATTTGGGCTCACATTACTGTCAAGGACAAGGAGCCCAGTAAAGCCTGGAAATATGGTTGCATAGGTTGAAAACACCCCGGTGCCATAGGAAATACCATACATATGCATTAGAGGTGCATTCAATAAAAGCCTCATGCGAAAAACTGAGAGAAAGGGAAGCTTAGTTAGGTTCTTCACGCGCACATCATGGTTTGTGATCACCCAATGCACACATCCCACTTACTATCCTCTGCCAACCTGGGATGTGTACCATAGAAGAAAACAGAGATGAGAGCAGTACAAAAAAGTAGCATGCACCTGAAACAAGAAACATGCTTCTTCCTTACTGTCGTGTGCCCGAATACTCCAAAAAGTGGAAATTTGTGACATTCCCACTAGCCTGTGTAGCATTTAATTGAAAGTCACACTGTGAGCAGGTCCAGCAGTCCCGAGTTTTTTGCTGGATCAAAGGGAGAACAGCCTTGATATTTTCTTCAGTAAATTCTACTGCATCAGCTTCAAGGATTGGTGGTGTCACTGTACGAACGATGGTACCATTTTCATCCCTTTCAAATGAGTTCAGGGAGCATTCCTCCTGGACGAAGCTTGGCCAAGAACGTCCCATTCCTCGCTGCAAAGTAGGTACAAGCACATGTTGGCTTCATGACTAGCTAGTCATATTGATTGCTCGGACCAAAGGATACTCATTGCAAACGTACCTGATCAATTGAGATAAGATTGTAGTCATTCGCAATCTCTGGACCCAAGTACTCAAAGGGGACACCCAAGCCACAACCACTCAATGACCCTGGACCACCACAGTGAGAGAACAGGTTTCCTTTGGGAGCAGGCTGATTCTCTGCAAATCGCATGCAGACGTACACCTCCACTGTGGGATAGATCACATCAGGCAGGGACCCGAGCGGCGCCTTGAGAAATCCACAAGTTTGTGCTCCAGGAGCAATTGCATCGGGATCAACCCATTCAAAACTTTCTGGGTCAATTCCCTTTTTGAAAAAGTCCAATGATTCCGCAGTGTAGAACTGGCCATTGCCACCTGAAGGTGCCTCATAATCATCATCAGCAAAGGGAGGCAGTCCCGTTTCACCCTCAGTCCTCCTTGCTTGGTTTCCTCTGAGGTTACGGATATCATTTCCATCTTCTTCTTCTTCGTCTTGGGATTCATAGATGTGATGGGAACGTGGGCCCAAAAGGCCAGTCCTGTCGTTGGCAATCTGACGATTGTAATACTTCTTTGCTAAGGTGCCATGGCTGGCGATGGCCACTAGAAGGCCAATGGAACACAACTTCATAGTCAATCTTGAAGAAATAGGTAAGCTGTTTTGGTAGGTACTTGCAGCAACGACGCAGGATGGTTCACGCAGTGATGACTGCTGCTTGATCCGCAAAATGACCACTGCTGCTGGTGCTGTCCCAGCCGAGCACGTACAGGATGGGGGCCTTGATATCGGTCTGTGGCATCTTTCAGGTCGGCGGCCCGCCTTGAACTTGACACTTGCGGTTATTGGATCTACAGTACAGTTTGAAGGCCATAATACCTTTGCCGTTGCTACCTCGGGCTACTTGAAATTGATGGATGCCATGCTTACCGTGGTGGCGGGAGATTGAATCATCAAGTCTGGCGGCCAACCGAAAGATCTCGAAAGCGCGCTCCCTCCAAACCCAACGAAGTCGAGTTTCTTCCCTTTACGGGAACAGAATTCAGCTCTACTGGCTATTCCACCGGAAGGTCATCCTTTGGTCATCCCAGTCACTGCTCCAAGACTTCGATTCCGCTCCGCGATCTTTTCAATGTTCTCGACCCTCATCACTGGTTCCATCCTGGAGCGGTAGAGTGTCAAGCCTTCATGCAGTCCTCGTCATCCACAACAAGAAAGCAACAAACCTTCTGCGAAGCGACAAACGGATACACGTACCGTAGTAGTCGATTGCCTGCATGAAAGCTTCTTCACTTGTTGACAGAACAGGGTATATCAGTTGCTGGGAAGGGGTATCCACATAGGACCAGGTGCTAGCAAAAGTTCCGTGGGTTGGGTATCTTCTCGGATCTTTCAGGTGAAGTCAGTTTCTGCTGTACAAGGGTAGACAATAGTAGCTATTATTAAGGAGAGAAAGTCGACAATATACCCACGACAATGCCTAGCAAAAAGGTAGATAAACTAAAGGATCAGCCTCAGGCGTTCCAAGACGCTCACAGACGTCTCAAGGCAAATGATCCCGACCTGAAAAAGCTCAATCTGCAAGACCTCAAACTCAACGACAAGTCAGCTCAGGCGCTGGCCAAGGTTATCTGGAAGAACCAGCAACTGGAGAACCTGAATCTGGCCAAGAATAAGATTGGAGATTTGGGCGCTTGGGAGCTTTCGGAAGCATTAAAACTTAACAAGACCATCAAGATGGTCGACTTGAGGAACAATCACTTTGGGGTGAACGGTGGAGCCGCGCTGGCAGAAGCTCTGCAGAAAAACAAGACACTGGAACGGATTGTAGTAGACGCTGTGTGTTTTGATGGCGACGCGGGAAAGAAGGCGTTGATTGGCGCCCTCAAAGCCAATTCCACACTCTGGCACACCAATGTCAAATCCGAAAAGGTCATGTTTCTAGGCAACCAATCCACAGTCGCCACGGCCTGTCGACGCTTGGCCAAGAATGACAAATCGCTCAAGTTCCTCAATATCATGAAGCGCTCCTTAGGCAATGCTCATGTGATGGCGTTGGCTGAAGCCATGAACTACAATAGATCCCTGATGAACCTCAACCTTTGGGACAACAAGATACAGGACGGTGGGTTAATTGCGCTGGCAGAAGTATTGGCCAAGAACAAGGTGCCGTTGGAAAACTTGTCACTTCGTTGCAATCAAATCAAAGACAAGGGCGTCGTGGTGCTGGCAAAGTCTTTGGTCAGCAATAAACGACTCTTATCCTTAGATCTGCGCGAGAATAGCATTGCAAATCCTGGGGCCAAAGCGTTGGCTAATGCTCTCAAGGATCATCCCGTGTTGCAAGAACTCTTCTTGAATCAAAACAAGATTGGAGACGATGGTGCCGAGGCATTGGGTATCATGTATGGAGCTTGCCGCCTGAAGGTTCTCTACTTGGGAAACAATGAGATTGGTGATGAAGGAGCCGTATACATATCGGAAGGGATGAAAACTAACACCACAGTACACGAACTGTTCTTATCCAACAACAATATTGGAGACATTGGGGCTCTGGCCATTGCCGATTCCATCCCGCTCAACTTTGCCCTCATTCGACTCTATCTGACAAACAAGAAAATGACCAAACGGGGAGAAACAGCGCTAGAAGAAGCATCGTACAGCAACCAGTTCATGAAGTGCTTGTACGTCACAGCAGGCAACTTGGCCCATCCTGATGGCGCCAGGAACGAAGACGACAAAAAGACACCCAAGCGAACAAAATCGTTCCCAAAAGTTGCCACCAATCCACCGCAGGCTGCACGGGCAGCACAGAACGGATTGCCCACAGCAGCAAGTGTCTTTCGGGCGAGCTTGAGTCAGAAGAAACTAGGATCGTAAACGGCGATGCCGTTTTTCGAGAGAAAAAGGCCTCCGTGGCACCCTAACGACTCACAATCAACACAAGCTGTTGAGAAGATGTGTTGTTTTGCTTCTGGAGTTGGTGGCTCGTTTTGCATGGTCTCCAGAAGGATGGCTTGGGAAGGACTGGGAAATGAAGATGATGCCGTTTCATGAAGCACGAGGCTCCCACGGAAGGAGAACGGTGCATCGACAAGAAGCAAATTTTGTAACTGTCCGCATCGTTCTACCTTAGCTAGCGGACCAATGTCGACAGCATCAAAAAGAAAGAAAGCGTTGGAATGTTGGGGAAAACCGGTATGCTTCCTCTCGTTGCGCGAGAGTGTGATCTTCGAATTGTTGGATCATGGCTGAGCTTTGCACGATTCGACTCACTCTAAGAATAGAACATGTGTCCTCTTTTCGTTGGCTTTGAACAATAGACAGTACCAACTCGCTCACGCCCTATGGTGTATCGTACTGCTATCGTAATGCACGGAGGTAGGTAGCTAGCTAGCCCTTCTCAGTCAGACAACACAATCCATACAGGAACAGCACATTATTTTCTATCATCATAATGTTAATTTACACTAGCTACATCCAACCGTCTGCAAAGTCAATCGGCGGGTTTTTTGCTCATTCATTCGTCGACCGCGGCCTGGATCTTGTCTTGCAAGGCTTCCAATTGTTGGATTACCGTCCGCCGGAATTTGTACGTGTATTCGTCTCGGTTTGGATAATCCTTCATTTTGATCTCTCCCCAGTTCTTTCGAAATAGCGCGTAGTAATGATGCATTCTCCCCAACGAGTCATCTCGTTCCTTATCGATCAATGGACAGTCTAGGAACTGTGCTTTGTATATTGTTTCGCCCAGTTTGTTGTCCTTCATGGTGTGTGAATTCCCACGAGCACAGGATCCACCCAGATGAAACGACGATTGATGTGCGTACTTGGTTCGAATGATGGGTTTCTGCCACTGATAATTCAGTTTGGCCTCTCGAACGGGGAAACCGTAGTACCCTTTCAATTGCGGATGGGTGGCATTTTCTTTCATGGGTTCTGTTCGTACAATGGTATACGACGGAAACGTCTGATAGCACCAATCACTGAAAAGACAGAATGAACAGTAAGATGAGAGGGGAGTCTTTTAAAACCAGCTTTTCCTTTCATTCCCGATCAATTTGTATTATTTGTACTCACCTACACCCATCCTTCCCTTGTAAGGATCGTACCGCTTCAATGAGACTCATGGTGCTTTGGTAGGGACTTGCCAGTAATAGTTCGTCCTCTTTTTGCAAATCGGTAGCAACGCGTGAATGCCGACGTTCGTAATGTCGTGCCCGGTGCGTTTCGTTGGTTCCCGGCAAACGATAGTAACTGGTGGAAAGGTTGGCATCCGCCAATATTGGCGGTATCCACAATTCATCGACATCCCAATTGACGACATACTCGGACATGCCCTTGGCGTGATACAAACATTGATCGTAGAATCGCATTTTGCGAATTTCTCGTTCGGGCATGACCGTGTCTTCCCCACCGAGGACGAGCACTCCTCGATCAATGTAGTAGGCTAGATTTTGTTGCAGCAGACGCATTTCTTCGGGTGTATCGGCACCCATAAAGATATGATCCACACCAATATTCAAGTGGTGTTGAATCCATTCGGGCAACATCCAGAGAGCACTCTCTTTGACACCAGCGACGCAGAGAATGACCCCAATGGGTCCGTCTCGAGCAATTGTTTCCACAAACGAGCCCGTATTGGGACTTTTGATGAGTGGTCCCCCGTACCCCACCGATCCCGTTTCGATGGGAACATCGACGGTGAACAGGGGTATTGTGGCGTTGGGATGGTGTTTGTTCATTTGTGGGAATACCGACACTCGTACATGAGTTCGTTCCAGCAGTTGCGATTTGGACAAGTAGGGCGAAATGTTGCATCTCCAAATCAAGTGTGAATTCCAGGTATTTCGATCAATGGAATGATGTGTGGGCATATATTCCATATCCATTACGGTTGGTTTGGGACGAGCGGGGTGTTGCTGTCCCGGTTCATGTAGGTGGCAGTAGAATTTCTGTTGGGATGCTTCTCGAAAGGTGAATGCCCCGTTGGTACTGAGTTTGGCAATATTGTAGAATCCTTCGGATGCTCCGCCCCCCATGGCATGACCAAACATATCAAAGGACACGGATTCGTCGAACTTGTCGTAAGAAGTGGTCAATCTGGTTCCCAGAATGTGCATTTTGTTCTGCATGAATCGACCCGGGAGTTTGTCGTTATCGTTGGGAAACCCACTCAGATTCTTCTTGCCCACAATGTAATAGTCTGGGTCCTTCTTTTTGGAAATCACATGCACTGTTCGGCTATGGCTGCTGCCGGTTGTTGTGGAGTTGGTTGCATTGTTTCGTATCGCATCTTGCAGTGCCAAATATCGTTGCTGATCGACAGAGTTGGACGACACAACCATTTGTCTCGTGCTGGACATCATGGTTACCACTGCCAAGACCAGCAAGGCAAACACAACCACTCGATGATAATACGCTGCCTTGACCATGCTCCTGGGGCTGCTGCTGCTGTTGTCGCCACCGGGACTACTCGACGGCAAGGCATGAACATCTCGGGCTTGATCCCGCATCATGGTCAATTGTTTGTGCATGATGGCTCTTTTGTCGCTTGCTGCTGTGTCAATAATTGCTGTGTTACTGTATTGTTGGCTCTTCCTATCAGTCTTATGCACACTGTACGGTACCCGATGCTGATTACAGGTTTGTCAAGCAAGTTGCCAGGTTGCCAGCCACTGGAGTGACAGTCGCCAGATGTTGTGGTTAGCCATCCAAGGTCACAGTCTCGTAATCGCGGTTCCCGGAAGATGCCGTTGGTGGTCGTTAATTTAGGCTCGAGGCCAAATTTTCTCATTGTGCCTAAGCGGCGAGACAGTCAGTCGTGCAACAAAAAGGAACAGGTTAAAAGTGTTACCAAGTATTCGTGACCAAAGAAATGAGCTTTCGCGTCCTCGACCTAACTCGGGATCGTTCAAAACACCCCGATCCCCTAACCCTGACACGAAATGTTGATCAAGCCCCAGGAAGCTTTGAAGACGCAATCCAAACCTGGTTCCCAAGCCCTCCACCCTCCACCATCAACCAAGACAAACGCAGATAGATGTGTTGCCAGCATCATGGAAAGACCGATCAGTCGAGCATTGAAAGAATATTATGTCTCAAGCAAACCTATGGAGCAATACATAAAAAACCCAACCCTAATGAAGAATGTGTCAAGTCGGTGATAACAGAATGACCTTCCCATACTCCTCCTACACTTTTAGAACATCAATACGAAAGAACACTCCGATTGTTGGCAAAGGCCAACAATCCATTCTTCCATTCTTAACCGATTGCCATGGAAACTGCACAACCAGTGTCACTGGGTATTTTGGGACTTAGAGAAATTTTACTCATCCAACTATGGTAATTTACTAGGCAATTTCTCACAATTCTAAACACCACTGCCACCATCATCTTGACAACTTGCCTCGTCGATATATCAGTAACCATCCATAGCTAGACAACAAGTGAATACTCTGCATCTATCTTCTCCTTCTCCTCTTTCCAGGCGTACCTTTGGCTTGATTGTGGCATCTACCTGCTAGTTGCAAGCTTTAGCTTTCTGAAAAGGAACTGTTTTGGGGCCGATTCATCATCCTGACTTGTTGGGCATCAAGACCACTACTACTGGCCATCCTACATTCTGTAAGCTTTCTCTTATATGTATACTGGAAGGGGATGACTTCAAGAAGCATCAAATTTGGACCAGTGGTTGTGGAGATACCCATTTCTGTGGGATAATGTGAAGAATCCACCCAAAATCACGAGTTGGCTCCAGAAGAGTGCCTTTTGGCTCTTTTGACACCAAACCAAGCCACACGATTCACGTTGGGGTGTATGCACCCAACTTCAGACGTCAAGACACCACCAGAAACGGTCAGAAACTGATTGAGTTGTGCCTACTTTTGGCCTTGGATTTCTTCCATTTTGGCTCGACCCAAAGAGCCGCCTTGTCGGAAGACTTCTACTTGGAATTTCGTGGAAGCACTTGAGGAGATTCAAGTTTTGATACTACAAGCAACAACCAACCATCCAAAGACCAGTTTCATAGGCCATCAGGTTGCCAAATAACAAACTTTCTTGGTTTTGGGCAACTTTAACGACAACAAAAAACAGGTCAGCATATATAATTCTGTGTGCCACCCAAGTCGAATATGGGTCCACTGAGGCACAGTCCTGCCTTGTATATACCCTTAGTGGAAACTTCAAACCTTGACCCGTCTTCTAGAGTGGGCATATTTTCATTCTAGAGTCCCATGCTTTGGCAACTTTGAGTTGCAACGTTGGTGAGTTTGTTGTTCTGAAACTGTTTAGATATATACTCAAGGTAGAGCCATTTTATTTTAGATAGATTAAGCTGGCTTAGTCTTTTCGTGAGCTGGCTTAAAAAAGACCTCTAAATCTATTAATGTTGGTTTCCTTCCAATATTCTTAAAACTAGGGCATTATTTTGATTAGAGCTAGGGTTAACCAAATGAGAACTCCTCTTCCCATTCTGCGAGGGATCCCTTCTCCATCCCTTTTAATCCCTTCCACGGCAATCGGTTAAATATCTAATTAAACCCTCGAGTGCTCCTAACTAATCAATTCGTTCACATTGTCCTTCTCCTTGTACTGTCCTCCTTAACCCGCCACAGTTCAGTAAAAAAGCTTACCGTGTCCGGAGATTATAACTCTTAACTCCCCTACCGGTAGCCATCGTTATAACAGTAAAAAAGCTTATCGTATTCAGAGAACATAACTCTTAACTCTTAACCATAGTAAGGCTTTCTGTAACCAGACCCTCCGTAACCATAACCGTAACCACCATACGTCTATGTTTGGATCAAGTCCAGGTCGATAGTGCCGAGCCTTTAAACTGTCCTTAGCTGTACATCTAAATAATCAATGTTGCACGCTCTTCCGGCAGTTAAAACAATTTCGATTCCACTCCCTAGCAGTTTCAATCTCAGCCACGCATTTTCTTGAACTCTATAATCGGACTTCAGACAGAATTCTCAGGAAAGTTCTTACTCGCCCCCAATCCATGGAATCAGGGCCAGTGCATCGGTCTAAGTAGATTTATGTGTATCGTACGGTCGCAGAATAGAACAAGACTGGACTGAATCCGCGAATGTATTAAAAAAAACTTAACCATGCGTGCCGGCGCGAAATCTTTTGAGCCGAATCATTCTCTGACCCCCAGATCCCGTAGACTGATCAATTTTCTGGTACTCAGAAATCCTCTATGCACCTCGCGCGTAGACCTGGTACATAATCCCTGACGTGTCTAACACCAGAAAAAAGCAACGGCTGCAGCAAAAAGAACAACAAAATAAAAGAAACAAGCTGACAATGGCAGATAATGGCAACAGTTGCTATGTAGATTGTTAAGACTGACATACCGGTAGAACACCATACAGTTGCAACTCTCCACCATGCATGCGCAGCTACCACCAATTGGAAGTAGTAGCATAGATTTCATGGTCAGATTGAATCATTCAATCGAATGGAATCGATCGCTCACTTGTGAGCACACGTAAAGGCGATTGGTCACGATGGTTTTGGAGACGTGCAGCAATTTGCAGGACACGGAAGCCGAGAAGAGCCAAAATCATCATCTTTGTCTCACAAACAAACATCAAGAGAAAGAAAGATTGTTTTCCCGTGCAAAGCTTTTATCGCACCAACAAACAAAATGAGCGACCTTACACAGAGTAGTCCATCAACGCCCGCGTCTCTGACGATAATGTCTACCTCACCCTCAGATGTCACGTCTAACGGGAGCTTCTGGACCCTCACCACGACGAACAAGGACCATGGCACTGAGCGGTCGGAATCGGTGCCATCGTCCCCCTCACCCCCAAAGAGTCGTTCATTTCCCGAGCGTGTCATTGAAAATTCCAGAAGTATTCATGAAATCGAAATGGGGCGCCGTCTTTTTACTGACAGCGAAAATCTTTATCCGTTTGGAATGAGCCCTCAAAATCAGCTCGACCACGCGAACATAGTCAGTGACCTTCTGAAGAAGTGCGTGGGTTTGAGAATTGAGATGCTAACGGATGGCCAAGTAAACGAAGCAGAGGGTCAAGGATGTCTATTGATAACAGGAAAAGGAGTCGCCATTGCGACCGTCAAACACAATTCTGCATGGAAGTCAACGCCGAAAACCAGTTGGAAGAATTTTCGCGTGTGCTCGTTGTTATAGGCCGGTATTCATGACAGAGGCTATGATGCTATGATTGTGGGGTTCAGGTTGAGTACCAGTGTTCCAGTTATGCTGTGTAACTGTGTACAGCTACATGTATGCCATACTCACCCAGTATGAAACAGAAGGCTGAAACAGAAGGCTACCTATGGGAATACAACCTAGATAGCTATCATAATTTATCTAAGCCACAAGTGTAAAGACACCTCCAGCACTCGTGGTGACTCCTGTTTCTACACACTCTATGCGTTTCTTCTTGTCTAAATCTCTTGAAAACTGGGATGCTCGATCCTTGAACGATACGGACTCGGGTGCCTTTAAATTCAAATCAAGAGATGACAAACCAAACGCCGCGTGGAAGTACGGAAAAGAACTTGAATTATTGCCTCTTTGCGAAAGAGACTTACAGTTGATGGACGCCATCAAAGAGGGGACAATCAGTCCATTCCAACCTGTAAGCCCGACATTCAAGTGCGAGGTGAACATGCAAGTGGGTATCATGGCCCACAGCTGCGTCAATTTGCTGGCTAGGAGTATGCAAAAAGGTCTCAGGTCGGGACGCGGGAATTACGTGGCACAAGCAGGCGACAAGTTCATTTCGATTGGACATCTCACTCATGTGGGGGATGACCACATTGAATATTCTGTGAACACTGTCCCAGGATGTTCGGGAGCTCCAGTATTTCTGTTGCCAGAGGACCAGGGCGATGACGACAATTACATGAAACTCATTGGAATTCACGCGGGCTTTTCCGACGCTCTTGGAACTAACTTTGGTTTCTTGGTTGCCGAGCAGGTTGAAGGTTTCTCAAGGTTTCTTGGTTGGCCGAGCAGGTTGAAGGTCGAGGTCACGAAACGGAATACGTATTTCCAAAAAGGTTGAAGATCTTTCCTCCTAGTCAACAAACCATCCATTGACAATGAAGGACATGAAGAGCTAGTCAACGCCCTGGGAGAGTATTGTGTATTGAGAACTCTAACACCTGAAGCAGCGATGTCGGTGCTTTCAAAACGGAGACAGAAGACAAGCAGACGAAGAGAAAGATGAAGAAGGAGATCCTGGCGACCTGTTCCAATCTTAACCTAATTCTTAGGACTACTAGTAAATTTCCCGGTAGCGTCACGCCCCAACAGCAGCATCGTAACCAGCATGCCCAGGATAGTATTCATCAACCTCCTCTTCCTCTTCACTGGTAGGACAGTCTTCTTCGCACTCCTCTTCACCGGGTAGTCATATTGATGACGTCCTCTGTTCATGGAACCACTCCTGTACCGGTAAGCCTGCGAACATAAGGATTAGACACACATGTTCTAAAAGGGTGGACCAGAGGCGAGATTAGACTATCCATTACATGTATTTTAAGGTGGTTCCGTCCAGGATGTAAGCCAGCCAAAAGCTGTGAATAAATATTGGTGCGCCCAACAGTATTTATCGCGAGAGATCGGGTGAAAGAACAACAAAAATCGATCGACATCCCTGCTGCTAAAGGAGGGCTGGAATCAACGCAGGATCCCCCTGACTGGCTGTTATACGTACAAGAGGTGTTGCTAATAGTAATAGGAAGAGGTTGTTGATGCGTTTCCATGCTCAGTTCCACAACGCCTGTTAGTATTCTTCCGTCGATGGAAGCTTTCGGTTTTCGGATCGCTGCTGCTTCGATCGAATAAATCTCGATGCCCGCTGGTCGTATTGCCCTGCAACCAGCTACTACTCTCTTCCTTACACTATTATCAAGCGATAAATGTATGGTTGTAGGGCTTTATAATGAGCAGGCACCAAGAACTGAGGTCTCTAACACTGCGATTGCTGTTTGCGAGTTTCGAAGGCTTGTTGTTGTTCTGCACCGATCAAACGGAATCCTGCTGTTTCGGAAGAGCTTTTTTTGAAAAGAGCACAAACTTGGCTGAAACGTGTTCTTGGTACTATTTTAGTATAGGATCGAGCAATCCAGTCGCGGTGCTCACCCAAAATGTGAGGCTCAAATTTGAATGACATTATTCTGACAGCCCAAAGAAACAACGGCCAAGAATTCGAATCTTGGCCGTTTCTTACGTATGTAGATAGATATGGCATCAGTAGCTCGAGGAGTACAAGTACGGCAAGCAACTCGACACTCTACGTGCTAAGAAGGGCAACACTCTTCATTACAAAGAAAGCACTACTATGTTTAGCTAGCGGCTAGCTAGATGGCATTGCTGCCGGCATCACTATCATCATCATCATCAAGGGCTCCAACAACGTCTTCTTCGTTGTCACCATCAAGGGCATCAAAGGGAATGCACTCCAGATCAGCCAAATCCTTGGTTCCATCCTCAATCATTCGTGCCAAATCATGAGCTGTTTCCTCGGGGCTTACTTCCTCCTCAACTTCAGCTTCTGGGATGCTTGCTGGCTGGCTAGAAGCACTAGCAGCTGGAATAGAAGCTGCAGTTGGAGTGCTGGCAGCCAGCTCTGATAGCAGCTTTCCAGTCAACCTATCGAACAGCAACGCAGCCTTGGAATCGCCTGCCTTGGTGCACTTCTTGGATTTGGTCGAAACATGTCCCTTCTTACCGCAGAAGGGACAAAACCTGCCTTTGCTAGTTGTCGTCTTTGTCGTTTTCCTCTTCTTTGCAGGCCGTTTTGCGGCATTCTCGGCATCGATCCGTGCCGCCTCAGCAGGAAGCTGCTCTTGCGGAAGATCCAAATTCATTCCCTGGCGGTAGCATTTGTGTCGTTTTGCCCAAGCCTTCTTCGCGGCAATCGTTTCCAACCGGATCCTCTCGTTCTTCTTTTCCGCCCGGTACTGCTTGTACTCCGGCGTCTTTAGCCGGTCCAATCGTTTCTGTCGTGCATTCTGCCTGACCGACAGATAATGCTGGACGGTGTTTGTCATGTCAATTCCAAGCTTGAGGAAAAGACGATTGAAAAACTCGACATATCCAAGGGAGACGATGCCGACGGCAAAGGCAAGACGATTGGCTAGTGAACAGGACCCGGAAAAGACTTTGTTCTTGGGTGCGAACCAAGTACAGACGCTGTTGAATGACTCGTTTGCATTTGTGTCCAAGCCGTGGGCAATCTCTCTCAGTCGCCCAAGCTCACAGTAGCGCCCCATTTTCTTCCGTAGCAGCTCGTAAAGTTCCGCATCGTCTTTCTTGTCGCGGTAGTATTTCTTGCTAGCAAGTTGCTCAGCTGCCGTTGCCTTTTTCCGAGCGCACCAAGCACCGCATTTGTCGTGGGCATCAAAGTGGTGCTCCAAGCAGGCCCAAGCGACATCCACAAATTCGGATTCATCCCGGTCTTTGAGCGTGCGGGCCATGTAGCCGTAATTCTTGCCAAGACGAATGGAATCCAACCTGGTCATCGTCTTCTTGTCTGCGACTTTTGCCAAATCCAAACGAATTAGTTCCCCGGTCAACTGTTTCCGGCGGTGGTTGGGATCAGCACAAAATTTTGGCTCGGGAATATGGCCTGGTAGTTTCCCTTTGTCCGGGCGGTCTTGTAGCTCACCCTTATTCTTTCCCTTGGTTTTCGGCACCTGCGGTAGAACGGTAGTGTTGTTGTTGATTAGATAGTCTTTGTTCGACCACTTCAAATCGGCCCGAATGGACGAGTCGTCGTCGCAGCAAAGGAGCTCCAGAATAATGCCTTTATTGTCGTATAGATCGATCGCAATTTCCAAGGCCAACGCCGCTTCCATCGCACCTGACGAATCGGTTGGATCATGGTTGCGGGGACAATAGTGCTCGGGGTAGTCAGGTCGGGTATCGGCATCAGGGTGATCCTTTTCGTGCTTTTCGCACTTGCCGCACTTCTTGCTCTTTTGACCGAATGCAATGACCTGTCGAGTCACGGCACCTACCAAACTACCGTGGCCAGACGATGAATTGTAGAGAAGGCCGGATCCTT